GCTAAAATTTCTCAGGAATCACTTCCACTACAGCAACGATCTGAACTGCTCTCTCCCTCTCAGTCTCCTGAGGATTAACTTTCATTCATGTTTATACATCCTTTGTTTTTAAAATATTCTCCCTCCTCCCTTCTTATCCCCCTGCTCCAGGATTCAAGATGGTACTTAAAGAAAGAAAATCCTCCGACTGCCAAAATAAGCCTAAAGCTCCATTACTGACATCACACATTACCTGTAACACTCAACCAGACTCTTCATTTTCCGTACAGCTCCGTAACCAGGGAGCACGCGATACCCGACTGTCCAACCCACCCTTCTGCACCCCGCTGCAGGGAGAACCGAAGCACCATTTAGATGGAAACAACTTCTTTCCCACTGAATTATTACATTTTTTCCCAAAACACGGACGGTTAGCGCCGCGTTTGGGCAGTATCCAGCACAGCGGGGCAAATCCCAGGGGTTCACGTGCAAGACGCGGACCCCAGCACCCTTCCTTGGATGCAGGCACGGCCAAGCTCAGGTTTCTTCCATGATGATGTTTTCCATGGCAAGGCTGGAAAATTGAGCCTTAAAGGCCAACCAAGGGACAGGCGGACCCGCTGCGCCACCCTGCCCAGCTGCCCTACATTTTCCAGCCGCTCCATCGCTCACGTCACGGCTGGAAAAGCTCTTCTGCCACTTTCTGAAGTTGGACGTGTAAATAAAGGATGTAAATCCACAGGGGTTGTGGGGGAAGGTCTGGGGTTTTGCCATATAAAAAATAAGCACAAACAGAAAAAGACGAACACACCGGAAGAAAACTAAACCAGTATATTTTAATTCTACAAAATGTATAAATATTTAAATGTACAGCAAAGAGTACCAGTATACCATTTAATAACTGTTACAACATTTAAAATGCGTAATTCTTTATCCACAATCTATTTTTATAAATTTAATTTAAATTTCGTCTTCCCAGCACTCATTCAGGAGCCTTTGTAAACGTGTCCTCCAAACCACCCCACCTCAGTCTTTTTTTCCTGCTTCGGAAAACACTGAGCAGAATTCCAAAGTTTTCCAAATAAACTTTGCATTATCTCAGAGTACCGTGGCCTTTTCGCAAGGCACCACTTACCACAGAATCCCAGAATGGTTTGGGTTGGGAGGGACCTCAAAGACCACCCAGTTCCAACCCCCCTGCCATGGGCAGGGACACCCTCCACTACACCAGGTTGCCCAAAGCCCCATCCAACCTGGCCTTGAACACTTCCAGGGATGGGGCAGCCACAGCTTCTCTGGGAAACCTGTTCCAGTGCCTCACCACCCTCGATGTAAAAAATTTCTTCCTTAAAGCTAACCCAAATCTCCCCTTTTTTTCAGTTACGAGCTGTCCTGAATGCGTGCTCGCAGAGAAAAAAATCAAAATAAATGAAATCGAGGTGGCCACACATGGGAGCAATGGTTCTGGCTGGACCTTTTTATGTGTTGGAGAACAAGCACGGACACGGAAAGCCACAGAAGCATTAAAACACATCGCTGGTGTTCATTCAACACCATGGGTTACACAGCAGCTCGTAGTTACTCACAGGTTGCGCGTGGTGTAGTCCCACCAGCTGTGTCAGCCACGGGGACATGGGCCGGCTTTTGGCCACCCGAAAAAAATGCCAACTCCTTTTTATCTCCCCAGATTGTTCCAGTCTGTTCCACAGCTCTGACCACCTGAGAATTGCTTTGTGTCTGGCTCTGCCCAGCACCCCCACGGGACGCAGCCCGTGGGCACGGGATCAGGTAAGGTCTCTGCTTCCAAATAAAAATAATACTAATAAAAAAAAATCAGAACACAGAGTTTTGCAGCTTTTCTTCAAAGTATTATTCATATTAGAGTGTGGCAAATAAATAAATCCTCCCAGTGACTGGAAAATAGGCATTGGTAGAGAAACCCGTCTGGGTGGATGGATCCAAATGTCTGGTTTAGTTCTGGTTTGTACCTGGCTTCCCCCACCTCTGTGGATCGCCGGAAGGTGCCGGGAGATAAAAAGGAATACGGCTTTTTACAGCGTTTATGGTTCAACTCGACCCCTCAAAACGCCGCTCTGCTGATGCCACCCATCACGGCATCACAATCCGCCCTCGTTTCACCAAAGCAATTCTTAAAAAACAGAAGAACCAGCAACATCTTTCCAGCAAGAGCAATAAACATCCGGCATTTATAGATTTAAACACGTTGTGCAGACAGAAGTCAGTCGTCCCGACACCCTCCTGGGATATGTTATAAATGGGGAAACACAGACCAGCCCGTGCCTGTCGGCTGTGGCACGTTGGTGGGCACCGAACTTCAGACACTCAGCGGCAGCGGGAACCCGACGCGCCGGTTTGAGTGATTTTAGCCGGAATGACTCGTCAGCGGCGGGAGGAGGGGCCAGGGTCCCAGCGCAGGGACTTACATCCACTCACTAAACCCCATCGTTCATCATCTCCGACGCCGGATCCGCATTTCAGGTGCCCTCACCATCACCACCTCCGTAGATCAGGCTTGGAGTGAAATTCCTCCGGAATGAGACTCACGGGGCTTCTGTATCCTTTCCAAGGAGGTAAATCCAGGATCCAGCCCTTCGAAGCTCATGGAAATATTCGCCGTGACTGAAGTTAAACAGGTACTTTAGTGCTTTTTTTTCTAGGTCTGAGCATAATTTCTAGATGTTTGGCCATTCTGGTAGCGTGCAGAAGACCTACAGCAACACTTCTGCTTCGGCCATGAGGGATGCACGTGCCGGCTCGTAAATAAGTCCAATCCAACACCGAGACATTTCCCATCCTTTTTCCCCCAAGCAGGGACACAGCAGTGCAGGCACCGACCATACCCAACGCTGCAAGCCTGTGATCTTAGTCAAGGGATTCTAGACTTTGTAAGAATGTTGAATATTCACCTTTACAGTAATCTTAAGGAGAAAAACATTCTTTTCTTCTTCTGTTTGTGAGATTGCACCTCAAGCCTGGACAGCTGCACCTCGCTTGCACCCTGCCACCACCTCCCAGCTACGACAACAAGAAAACCTCATGGTGGGACCTCACTCTTCCCAGCCAGGGGTATTCCCTAAGGAATGCTGGAGGCACCCAGAAGAGATGACACCACCAGCTGCCCTCCCCCAGTGCTCCTGGGTGCTGTAGGACCTTCCACAATGTCTACTTCTGCAAAGACACACAAAAGCCAAGTGCCTGGACATACAACCCACCAGCACCAGGCAGTGCACATGGCAAAAGCCCTTGGAAAGATGAAGAAGCAATTTATTAACTTTTTTCCTGCATGGAGACTGGTGTTTGAATCTGTTCGTGAGGTTTGCACGCTCTCTCTGTGAAGCAGAATTTCAGCCTCCTCCTGTTTGGCTCGCTTTTAAGCCACACTGTGTGCTTCTGTGGTCATTTGAAGATGAGATTTGGAAGGGTTTGACCCTGCTTTGAGCGGGGAGGCTGGCCTAGACGAGCTTCCAATCTGAGTTAATCCGTGATACTCGAGCTCCCATGCATGCACAGCAATCGCTTTTCCAATTGAATATCCTTCTATTTTTCATTTCATGATGTGCATCAAGAAAATAAGGATCATCTATAAATTTATGATACGTACGTATATATGACACTATTAATCCATAACAACCAGAGCATTATACAGAAAATATTGTCCTTTTGCATGACCTGGTGCATAAACAGACCTTTCAAGGAACTGTGAGCGAAATAATGGGAAACCCTTTCCCCGCTTACCTGTGCGGAGGTGACGGTGCAGTTGCTGCCCTGTGATTCCGGTGTCTCGAACCCTGTAGGCGATGGGAAATTACAGACTATCGCCCAAAACCCTGCCTGGCCCATCACCCCACAGATGCATTTTTGGGGAGCACGTGCTGCTGGGGTCACGGAAGGAAATGTCACCTGTATGTCTAAGGAAACGTCACCCTTCCGTATAGGACCCCGCCGGCACGGCATCAGCTCCCGCGACGCCTCCGGCACCGCCGCGTGCCACCGGCACGTTTTTAATAACCACGCTAACAGAACGATTAAGCCACAGAATTATTAAAAATATAAAGAAGCATCTGTCATCGCTAGCGAAGCAAGAACATCCGGAGCCAGAGCTCAGCATCGATCCGGTCTCGCTCCCCGAGCGCAGGGGATCCCCGGACGACGCTCCCGTCCGTGTGCATACAGGATGCAGGGATATATGAACGCTTAAGGGCAGCAGCGAGGGGTCAAGTTCAGCCCAACCCCCGGCCTCCCGGGGTCTTGGAGGGCCCATTGTCGGCACCTCCACCTGTAGCCCCCTTGCAGCTCCCCAGCTGTCAGCCCCCACCATTTCTCCTTCCATCTGCACTGGTCTGAGTCACCCATGTGTGTCACCCTCCTTCTCAACAGCGTTCCGTGTCTTCTGCTGTTGCCTCATTTGATGTAATTTCAGGTTGAGTGCAGTCTTTGCTCAGTTTTGCTGCTTTTCCAAACACTGGATTTTTTTTTTCCCAGCACAAACCACAAAGCTTTCGCTCTGTCCACTGACTTCACTGCTGGGTTTGGTTCCACACCAAGTCCCACGCGACACGAGAGAACAGCAAATATCCCCACCGCGTTGCCAAGAAAGACCAGGGCCAAGACATCCAGCTCAGTAGATGCCTGCCAGGACGGTTCCCGGTGCCAGTTAGTGTCATTAGTGGCTTTTCATACTGGGTCACTTCTCCGTAGGGGTGTGACCCATAGAAAACACCCTCCGACCCAACCTCTTCGACATAGGGTTCACACAGGTTTCTCTGGAACCACTTTTGAGCACGTTTGTGTTGATAACAGCACATGTTTTGACATTTATAGGCTCAGATGAGCTTCTTTTCAACAGTCACAAGTTTGGAAGGGGCACGTGGAGACCCAATGCATCAAGAAAACCCCCCAGATGGGTTTCGGAGAGGGCTTCAGCACTGCTGGCCTCAGCGAGGAGGAGGGGAGGAGGAAGAGGAGGACATCCCGGCTGAGGCAGCGGGTCTGCGCTGGCTTCAGGCACCCAGGGTCATGTTGCGCAGCAGCCACTGCTGGGAACGGCCGTCACCGCACTCCCTCATGGTGGGAACCATCTTGTCCTCCTCCGACGGCTCATCCAGACACTGGTTGCTGTTGATGTGCCTCAGGGTGAGCTTCTGCAACAGAGAAGGGTAAAAACTGCAGCAAGAGAATTACTGCCAAAAACCCATAATTGCATTTTCGGTCTTATTTTAGCCTTACTCTAGACAACTACACAAGCCATGGGTACTCATCCCTGGTAAGTACTCGGACGGCTCTACGAGATGTCTACCACGCTACTTGCAGCTCCACAGGGTGCCCAGCTTACCTTCTGACGTGTGGCCAAGCAGCCCGGGCAGCGAGGGCCTCTGACGGCTCTACGAGATGTCTACCACGCTACTTGCAGCTCCACAGGGTGCCCAGCTTACCTTCTGACGTGTGGCCAAGCAGCCCGGGCAGCGAGGGCCTCTTATGCTGAACCCAGCAGTGAAGAAACGCAACAGAAAAGTACATGGTAAGTGCAAGGAAACGTTATTCCCAAACAACAGTACTTTGGATTAAGGAGCTCAGTGTGCACCAGCCTGAACACATGTGAGTGTCAGACCAGTGGAAATGCATTTGCTGAGTATTATACGAACAACGGTGACAGACAGCTGAAAACTCTTCTGTTTCCACTATATTTTTTCCTTTTTTGGGACATCCATCCCTTTCCATTCCTGTATTTCTGAGGAGTGCGAGGTTCGGAAGGGGACACCAGGAAATAGAATTTATTTCGAAGAAATAAACCATCTTCCCTTCAAAAGCATTGGGAGAACACGATCAGGAAGAGATCCAGGAAAGCTGAACGTGAAGATGTGTACGTGGACACAAGGAGACGGGCACGCTGGCAGTGGAGCAGCACGTCCTCTCCATCATCGTGAGCGCAACGCTCCTGCACCCGACTCAGCCCACCACCATTCCAGCCTTTGCTTTGCTGTCCCCAGGGTTTTAAAGACCAGTCCCTCTCCCCGCTTTGGGACAGGTCCTGCTCCAGCTCCGCTGCCCCACGGGCTTATATGGGCTCTCTCCCTCCATTGCTTCTGTAAAATAGCCACACAACCTACACAGGGAGGTTGGAAACGCTCCAGGTAAAGCAGTCAACCACGGTCTGGGCTGTGGTACAGGGGTGACAACCCTGCCCCAGCAAGAACCACCGATCCAGGACTGGAAATGTTGTTTGCAGATCCTCCGCACAGCGATGTGATGTTGTCACCCAGAGACACACCTGTGCCACTGCTCCGTGTGACATCACACTGCAGCTCCCACCGGCGTGCCATGGCACACGTTCACACTCCCAATTTGGATGATGAATATTCTCCCAGTAGCTCCTCTCTAGGGATCGGCTCCTCCGTTTAAAACCAACCATTCCGCAATTCTCCAAGCAAAGCCTGCAGATACTGTACCAAACCACCGAGGGGCCACCCGATATGCATTCAGTGATGGATATAAGGCATTTTTTCCTCTAATTACAAGAGGAAGGAATTAGTAGTGCTAGCAGTAGCTTGTTTGCTAAATAGCACCGCTCGAAGCATCACTGATTCTTCACTTACATTGTTTTAAGAGCAATTAAGCCGCTCTCATTTTCTACTATAACCAGAAATGCAAACAAGCCTAAAAAAGCCTCCATCAGCTGTTCCCTTTTATTCAGTGTATAATTTCACACTAGACTACCGTATCATTGGGATTTTCAACCGTCTCATAGATTTTTTCTCTCTGTGTTCTATCATTATTTATGCTATTACAAAAAAAAAAAAAAAAAAGGGCTTGTTTGCTTGGAAAACAATTAATTACTAGGCGATACGATACTCACACGAGCCAGCCTGGAATGTGTATCGTACTCGAACGTGAGAACACACGCAGGGGTGCAGAGCGAGCTCTACAGACACCCAGAAAACAGTCATTTTTGGGGATGCACTCGGAGGTGAAGGTAACACCGTGTGATGGGGGAGCCCAGAAGAAACGGGAGCATCCCCAGCCCGTGCGCTGCCCCGTCGCTGCCCATGAGGGTACCCAGCCAAACTGCCCAGCAAAGAACAGCTGTGGTTGGCACAATGTTTTGATCCCTTCGGTGGCTAATGTTTCGAAATTATCGTGTTGATGATTTGAAATTATCTGTGACTAATATCTCTAGGATGGAATTACTTAAAATCGGGAATTTTCAAAATGGAGGTTTCAAAAAAAATATTACGCAATTGGCTTTATTTGTGTGTCCTGGAATAGGGACCAAATCTTCAGCTGTTGCAAAGGGTAACGATCACGTGGACAGCAGCTGATCAAGGTAGCTGAATTCCTCCAAAATTAGGTGTAGTTAATAGTAACTAATAATAACTAACATTAAACACCTATTAGCATCACACATCTGTACTTGGGCAGGTGTCCCTGCCCATGGCAGGGGGGTTGGAACTGGATGATCTTTGAGGTCCCTCCCAACCCAAACCATTCCACGATTCTATAATCACCTGAGAAAACAAGAAAGGAATTCAGCTGAGTTTAACAGGCAGAGAACGGAGAAGCATTTTGCTAGGAACAGCTTAAATCATTACACGCTGTATTTGCTTTTCGATACCAACCTCCAACCATTTGTTAAAGGAAATAGTCAGTGGGGCTGTAAAAAATGTTCCTAAAGACTTCCAGCCTCGTGTAGTTCCTGAGCACCCACGTTTGCACAGGGCTGCCATTGCAAACCTCCACGGTGGGCCCGTGGGTGCCGTCCTCTATCCTGCTCAGCGTCAGGCACGACTGGGTGATGATGTGAAGGAACGTGTGGGTCTGCGCGACAGAAGAACGGTCAAAGTGAGCACAGCTGGCACGGACGAGGGCAAACACAGGGAAAAGCAGCCAGACTCTTGGATTAGGCATCCACAGCGGGGAAAGAGATAAAGCGAGGAGCACACTGACGGGAATCGCTAACGGATAATCATGCCTGTGAATACTCTGGTGTCCAACTGTAGGCTCATTGCACCAGTTTACACACACTCAATGTGATGCCCCCACTGCAGAAACGGCCTGTACCATGCATCCCGAAGCTTGCTCCACCACTACTAAATTGAAAACACAGTGAATGAAACATTTGCATACAAGGAGATAAGAATTTTTTTGCCAGCTGCAGTTCCAGCTCTTCCTTTGCCGTGCTGATACCAGGTCAGCAGAGATGGGGGGGGAACTACTGCCCTGTGCTGTGCCCGAAGCTATGGCACAGCAGCAGGTGTCCCGTCCCCACGGGTGCCCGGAGCTGGTGCCTCCTGGGGATGCTCCTCCTGCATCCCGGCCTGGCTGCTGCAAGGAAGCGGGAGCCATCAGCGCTCCAGTGTTTCTGTTGGAAGCTCAGTGATAAAAACTGATCGGTATCACGTAATTACAGCTAATCTGGGACGAGGCTTTTCATGGAAAGAATTTTAGAATGAATCGTTCAGTCTGCTCCTTTTTGGTTTGGTAAGGGAAAAAAGTAAAGCACGTATAAAGAGGCCACTAAAAATATCAAGGACAAATGCCCTTATAATGTCACTTTGAGTAACCAGTGTGAACATCACTGCTCGTTTTGGTTTCACTAGGTATTACTGCTTCGTGCTCACTTCTGTCTGCTATTCTTCTAGGAGAAAACAGAGGTACATAAATAAACTACTTTGAAATGTAACGCTCTCTATATATTGTGTGTTTGTATTATATTAAACGCCTACATTTAGCAGGTTCTTCACATGGCTATAAACAGTACTGAGCCCCGTTTTGGTGAGCTGACCAGGCTCTTGTCTCTGGTGCACGAGACACAAAGTTTAACTTGTGTAGGTCAGCAAGGCTGCACCGACCTTAGCAAATCTCTGGTACTGGAAGCAAGAGATCACTGGTCCCCTCCACTCATTTTATCGAACGTTACTTTCTAAGGAGGTAAGAAAGCAACCTGTAATGCTTTCCTTGCCCATTTTTGAAGAATAAAGTCCTTTCAAACACATAGTGATAAGACTGCAGTTTACAGGGATAGCCAAATTATTGGCCATAATCTCCTACGGCAGAAGTTAGTTTGACTACACCGACAACTTTAAGAAGAGCAATAGCCACCAAGCCTGTCATTGTCCGGAGGACACAGAGCAGCAGATGTGAACCTGATGATGCAACGTCTACTTCCACTGTTTGTGAAGAGACATGAAAAGGATTGTTAAAGCACGTGGTCAAGGCAAGAAACAAGCCAGATGTTCACACAAATTGTGTCCATGTGTTCATGTGCTTCTCTGCCCCTGACCTCTACGCTGTACGTTGGTGAACGTGTCTTTTCCCTACTGATGTTCCCTGCGTTTCTCCATTGATGCTCGTGGGCAGGGGGATGCGCAGGGGGCTCGGGGCTGTGAGCACCTCCCGCTCCACGGGTGCCAACATCTTCCTACATGCACCAGCATCAGCATCCACCTTCCACCGAATCACTTTTCTCACTCGAGTTACCCGTCTGACCCACGTATTCCATACAAAACCTTGGCAGGCTGACACCGTACAGCGAGCACCGGAGTAGGCAAGGCTTGGCACGTTGGAGTCGCAGCTGCAGGCAGGCACTACGTCACGTTGGTTCTACACAGCACTGCCAGGGGGGCGAGCGAGGGGCTATTCTAGGGGTTGGAACAGGGGCTGCAGTCGTCACTGGACTTACCTCAAAGCTATATTCCCATTTACCAGCGTACTGACGGGAGGGGAAAGAAAAAAAGAAGGAAGTTGGAGTCAAACGGTGACTCAAGAAACATGTTTTTTTCTTGAGATCATTCGCATGTCTTACACGTCGTAAGATCCCACCATGCCGGACAGGCTGAAAGTTGCCTGGACGTCACCAGGCGACGCACTGGGTGGTCCAGGAGCACCACCCCGGGCACGCTCCTCACCTCCACCTCATCCATCCACTCCGCAGCCAAACACCAGCCACATGGAATTCCAGCAAAAACACCTCCACCAAGACCAGCGCCCCGATACGAGGGGAAACCAAACACGCAAAACTGCTTAGCGAAATTGGGAAAATTAGTTTCATTAGACGAGCGAGATCACATGCTGGGGGAGCAACCTGGCTCCTGCCCATCACCATTCCCAGATCTTTTTCCGCTGATCCGCCACCTCGTTTCCCACCCCCGTTCCAAAGCAAACAGCGTTCATGCATGATAAATACGTTATAAAAGACATGCTGATAGGAAGCCTTCGAAAGCTGGGAGATTCTAACTTGGCACGTCGCACTGATACAGCTGATTTATGGAGCTGCCCTTGCAAGGTAATGGGCAGCTGGAGAAAGGGCCAAGAATCTTAATGTGCTGTTCAAGAAGCAGGAAAGGAAAGCATTAAAATTCAATAATGGAAGGCAATGGATTAAAAAAAAAAAGAATAAAAGGAAAAAAAAAAAAGGAAAAAAAAATTTCCTGCCAAGATACAAAAACATTCAGGAAAAAACAATGTTTAAAAATCTTATAAACTACTATTGTCTGAAGTGTTAAAAGCCACTTTCATTGGAAACGGAGAGTGCTGCGCACTCGGGCTCCCTCCTGGGAAGAGCTCGGCCGGGTGCTGTGCAGGATGAAGCTGGGGTTGATCCCTAATTTCCCTTGGCTCTGCCCGTGTCACTCCATTCTGACCCAAAACACGAATGCCAATTCTTCTCCTCTCCTTCAGCAAGTGATTTGCTGTTCTGACAAACCAACCGACACCTTTTGATGGCTTCTTCCCGTGCCTCAAGTTAACTTGCATCCCAAGTGCAAGTTAAAATGTGTTAATAACTGGAAGGGTTAAAAGCATTGCACTCACATTGTACGAAAAAAAATACAACAGAGGCTTTTTGAACAGCCTGCTTCGAACCAATTAAACCCGACAGTTTCACAAACATGTGTGAAAACATTCAATATTTACCTTTCTTATCACCACGAAATCTTCCCAGCTCCTTGTTTCTTTTCAAAAACATACAAACGCTGGGAATATCTAAGAGAACTGTGATATTATTAAGGTATGTATAAATTCTTGGAAAAGACTTTCTGTGATTTTTCAATATGTTATATATTTAACCACCATAATTCAAACTAAACTAGATTGTTACAGAAAATTTAGTGGCAGTATGTAAATCAAAGACAATTATCTGAAGATCTCTATTGAGAAATCTCTTTTTACGATTATTTGCATTTCTCATTTGGGGTTCACAGGTTGCCCAGAGAAGTTATGGCTGCCCCATCCCTGGAAATGTTCAAGGCCAGGTTGGAGGAGGCTTTGGGCAACCTGGTGTAGTGGAGGATTTCTCTGCCCATGGCAGGGGGGTTGGAACTAGATGATCTTTAAGGTCCCTTCCAACCCTAACCATTCTATGATTCATTCTACCTGCAGACGTGGCTGAGGCACCATTGTCCCTTATCAAGTCTTAACTCCTAAATACCTCCAACGGGAGCAGGGATGTGGTCTGTAACCACGGTGTAACTCCCAGAAATCACCTCCATTCCATTTCTGAATAAGTAAAGAAATGCAAATACGAGTGCAATTTCGCTGGGGAAAAAAAAAACAAAAAACCCACAAACGAATGGATACAAGACAACGTGTTGCAACTGTTTCTCTGGAAAAAAAATAAAAATAAAAATATCACAAGCCAGTTGTTTTCCCCACTGCGTAACATAGCCGTGTATCTGGAGGCTTCCTGTGATGCTCAGAGATTCCCGGGCAGCAAAACCAACTCCTGCAGGAGCAAAGGGCCCTTCCCACGCAGCGGAGCCAGGGCTCAGGGCAATTAACACACTAATTAACACAGCACAGACACCAAGGCCGTGTTTGGAAGCTGAAGTCTGAATAGCTAGGGAGTAGAAGGGTTAGCAAAAATATTCTTAGCAATAAACAGAAAGGTACACGGTGTGACGGGCTGTGTTCTATCTGGGGAGCAGCCAGCGAAACTGCTGTCTCGGAGATCCCTTCGAGTCATAAACTGGTGTATTTCTTTTTGATGAGCTCCATCTAATGGTTGGTTTTGTTTTTACACAGCTACTTAGAAATTTTCCATCGTGGATCTCTCGCGCAAAACTAAAGGGAAAAAACCAGTATGTTTCCAACATGAAAAGTAAAGGAGAGCGTATTTGGTTGAAAGAAATTTAGCTTTCCATGCAGAAAGGTGAAAGCAGCTATTTCCATGAAATGTTGGAATGTGTTACACACATTTTTCTACCTTTGCAGTCATGGAAATACGCCCATCCCAGTTTGGCATCTCTGGAGGGCGCATGGCAGAGCCGCGCTGGCACAGACCTCCCCGTGCCACACCTGGGCTCTATAGGAAATCCAATTGCAGTAGCTTGTGCCCAAAATAGTCAAACAAAAGCAACGGGCAGGATGATATTTTTTGGTTTAGCAGGAAGGATTGCTCTCTACGGTCCTGGTAGAGAAAGGGCATTTTGGGAGAACCTTGCCCAGGGGCAGCGCGTGGCTACGGAGCAGTGCCCCAGACCGGGGGCAAGGGGAGAGCTGGGGGCAGCAGGAGCGTCCCCCTGCCTGCACTGAGTGTGCTCGGCTGGGACTGGGCTGCTGAAGCACAGAAAAACAACATTAAATAATAGCAATCTATTAATAAACTCATTTCTGAATAAACTAACAATCAATGCATAATAATCGATTGTATTTTTATTAGAAATTATTTTGTTTAATTAATATTTAATATCAAAATATTTTTAAATTAATATTTATTCAATATCCAAAATTGATCCTTTAAAGTATCGCTGAGATAAACGTGAAATATTCCAATTTAAGAGTCTGAAAACCTAATATTTTAAGGCATTGCACTTTGAAACAGAGGTGCGCACGCGCCGGCGGGCAGGGGATAGAATCATGGAATGGTTTGGGTTGGAAGGGACCTTCAAGATCCTCTAGTTCCAACCCGCCTGCCATGGGCAGGGACACCCTCCACTACACCAGGTTGCCCAAAGCCTCATCCAACCTGGCCTTGAACACTCCCAGGGATGGGGCAGCCACAGCTTCTCTGGGCAACCTGTGCCAGTGCCTCACCACCCTCAGCGTAAAAAATTTCCTCCTTACATCTAATCTAAGATGCTGCTGCTGTGCAACGAACACACGACACGCTGCAGAAGTGCATTCTGCACCGACGAGTGCCAGACCACCCAGACCCCCCCCTCTGACCTCTCTGAACATGACCAAACGCCATCCCGACCCAAGCAGAGCCCGGCCCGGAGTCGCCCGGGGCACCTGAGGACATGGGGACACCTCAACCCGGCGCAGGCTGAGCACACCGTGCCCCTTCGTTGCCCCTGGTGGTGTTTGATTTCCTACGGAGATGGACCAGGAACCCGTGATGCTGAGTCCATGTCCTCGGCCGCCGGGCAGCACTACACTCCCCAGGTTCTACTGAATGAAACCAACCAAAAACTGATTAAAAATCACAGAATCACAGAATGGTTTGGGTTGGAAGGGACCTCAAAGATCATCTAGTTCCAACCCCCCAATTATCATCTGCTTGCAGGAATGAGATGAAGGAGGATATAAGATCTTAACTACCATGTGTTGATTGCAAGCATGAACGTCCTCAAAACCACCTAAGAACTATCAAAATATTCATGTATTTTGTGTAAGAAGAAAACCAATCTTCTTTATTAAAGAGAAAATAGGTTTAAATGCAAATGTTAAACTCATGAATGCATCAAAAGTTACCAGATAACCCAACGGTACGTATCGTCGTCGTTTTTCCACCTGGCACTTCAATATTAGGCAAGGGCAGGTTTGTATGGTTTTTTCCTACCATAACCTATTGGAAAGATCCTGTCTTGAGGAAAATGCTAACACCTTTGTGTGAATTTCACCAGAACGGCACGTTCACATTTCAAATCAAAACCTTAAAACGGATGTTTCAACTTCCATCCGCTGCTTCCTGTCTCATTTAAAAAGAATTATTCGGCCACAAAACGCTGAAATATTTACGCATATTTTGTACCAATTTTACAAGCTCCCCATAACCACCAAATTTCTTCCCACTGCACCCCCTCTCATAACCCAGGAAAAGCCACCTCCCATCCCAGGGCAGCGTCAAACTGAACAGGTGACTGGGATACGGAAGATGATTAAGCACAATTTAAATCCAGAGCCAATAATCTTTAAGAGCCACCAGAAAGAAACTGGAAAAACTGGAACCGAAAAACAAACAAATCTTGGTTTCTACTTCACTTATATTAAAAATGCAGAGTGCTTCTTTAAGTTTGTAAGAATGCAAGGCAGCGCCAGCTACTCGAAATGAGCTTTTTTAAACAAGAATTGACTTCTTCACCTCTCTAGAAACAAAACCTTGTGGAAACGTGATGCCAAACCTGGCGGTTGCCTGAATTCCTTCGCACTCCCGAGCCTGCGCGGTGGCAGAAGCTCTCGGCACGTCCCGCCGCAAAGCCCCGGCCCCAACCCAACGGCTGTCCCCACCCACCGCCGCCACCGGTACCTCGGCATCGTACTCCCAGAGCTGGTTCCCTCGCATGTGGTGGCACTTCAGCATGATGACGGGGCCGTTCAGCCTCGAGACGTCCAGGCACAAGTCGTCCGTGCGGATCTCTTTGTCGGCAGTGTAGGAAAATACCTGGAAACAGAAAACGATGGCAGTGACAAAGAATTAGCAAAAGTCCTCATAGACTGCCTGGCTCAGAATATCCGTAATTTTCACTCCAGTGGAGCAGAACTGCTTTCTTCTCAAAACACTGTGGTGGTGGCACCTTCATGAGAGTTTCATGCAAGTTTCTCTGCTAGTGAATGTCTGTTGTATGCAAGGGAAGGAAAATCACGTTCAGGAAAAGCCCTGGAAGTGTTCAAGGCCAAGTTGGATGGGGCTTTGAGCAACCTGGTGTAGTGGAGGGTGTCCCTGCCCATGGCAGGGGGGTTGGAACTGGGTGGTCTTTGAGGTCCCTTCCAACCCAAACCATTCTGTGATTCTATGAATGTCTGTTGTATGTAAGAGAAGGAAAATCACGTTCAGGAAAAGAAATTTTATGGGACCAAGCCCAGGAATCACCCAGGCACACACTCAGTTTTACCTCCTGGGAATTCTACAGAAGCACATCATTGTGATCAGTGTCTGGAGGAGAAATCTCACAGGTCTTTTGATCTGTTGTTGAAAACTCTGTGTATGTACTGGCTTGTTGGGTTACATTCTGGAAGTATTTAGAGAAGAGCATTTATAGCTGGGGGCTGACCAAGGAGACACGGCCGTTGTTTGGAAAAACAGCTCTGTGTCCATTTCCGGCACATCTCAGCAAGAACTAAAGCATCCACAGGTACTCAAGTATGTTAAACGCGTGGCAGCAGAAGCTTTTTTTTTTCAAATTCTCAAATTCCTACAAGCTGTCACACACACACTTCCCAAGTTTCAGTTTGTGTCCTGAATCTGATTTTTCCAACTGTGTTGTTTTGTTTGTTTGTTTTTTCCACAGTAATATGTCTGCCTACACCTTGTCCCTGGTAAGTAAAAACCAAACACTGATGAAAAAAACGCCTACACTTGATCAGACTGATCACTGGTTTGTTCTGTAGAGGTCCAACAGATGTACGTCCTCTGGATCGGATGAGCTGACATTAGCACATCAGGCTAAGGTCATGGAAGCGCATAAGGTTACTAAAAAAACCCCAGTAATCAGGATCATTTGTGAGGTTTCGTCAAAAATTGTCCAAGAGCAGTCCACGTTCTGGACTAAACAGAAGTCTGAAGGCTTTATAAAAAATTATTCAACTGTTTATGATCTTCTCATTAACATCTGAAAAATTCTTCCCAGAATAAAACAATGTGACAACAAAATCAACCTTTTTCCACAGTTCATCAAGACCCCCAAAAATCCCTTTCCAGGACACTGTTTTGAAATTATTTTTGGAATAACAAGCAACTAAGCCAAGAAGGAAGAAAATCTGGGAGAAGTTAACAAACAACCGAAAAAAGGTCAAAAGACCATTGGTGCTCTAATATCAGGCTGTGATATCGAGAAATATCTGGATAAACAGACACTTATTTGTTGGGAGGGATACAAATCTCTCCCTCAGAGATGTTTATTTCATTTACAAGTCACACATGCCCTACTTGCCCAGCGGTGCTACTCATATAAGCGCACTGCTCCGTCTTCGGACTCCCAAGTGTCGCGTCCTCCAAATCATCCTTGGTCAAAAGCAGCCTGGAACTGGACCGGGGAGACAAAGCTATCATGTAGTTGAGGTACTGAAGACCATCATTCAAATCCAGATGCCGTAACAACATTCAGCCACCAAGCTACCATAATCAACATTCAACAACAAAACCTCTTGGGAGGTGCTTTGGTTTTTCCTTTAAACACCTTCAGCCAAAACTCTTACTTACTGGTAGGATACTGGACTTATTTGCCTGCTGTCATGCTAGAACTGGAACAAGAAGCACGGGCGAATAATCTAATAATCTGAAAATGACTGGTATCGTTTGTAGCACAGAATCTCGCAGCTGAAGAAGCAGTTTGGGTTCAAGAATCACTCGTGAATATTTTGTTCAGATGTTTCACCTTTTACTACGCTCATTATTAAGAGCCTTATCCATTGCCGTTTATCCCGAAGCAAATTCTAACTTTAATTTTCATCTTATTTGTGTTGGTTTTTTACAGTAGACACATTTGCATCAGGCGTTTTCTTCCAGCCTGAGAGACATGTTTGTAGCCTCAGAGGGATGTTTTCTTCTGTGTTTTACAGAAAGCACATACTTATATTTTGAAATGTATTTCCATTTGCATATTTCTTTTTCCTCTCATCTTTGATAACTGCAATACACTGTTCCATTATCTCTTTTGAAAGAATAAGTGATGTCTGAATTAACAATTACAGAAGAGGGCTTTGAAAAACATGCAGTCTTAAGAAAGAAAAACGAGTGCTAATTAAGACGATGTAAAATGATCAGGCTAGCGTTTTGCTACCATCCATATTAATTATAATTATATTAATGCTGTATAAAAATAGAGGGTGAGGAAGATGTTGCATTTTATAGCTAACTAAATAGTATATTTCATGCCACACGTTGCCCTGCAAGACAGGAAAGGACTTCCCAAGCTGGGTCCAGTCTTCTGCTACAATAAGCATCCACCTTTTGGGGACGTGACCGAAATGAAGGTTTTTTTCCAGTTTTTCCTGTGCTTTTCTTCTGCAGCTGACCCCAAGGGCTGGTAGCACTGGCTGTGAACAACCTTCCCCTGCTGCCGCGTGGGAGCTCTGGGTCTGGCCAGAGGAGAGCGGTCCCCAAGGGCAGGAGAGGGGGATGGTCCATCACCAGGAGGAAAGTTCCTGAGAAAGAGCCGCTCCCTGAGACCTGCAGGTGTTTGCCTGGTTGCTTAATCCCAGCCAGTTTTCCAAAACTACTAACGCATTCGGAGTACATACTAGTAAAGTAGACACTAATAAAGAATCCAGAATGACAAAACATCCTCACAGCTGATGCAACAGTTTTCCACATAGTCACGGAAATACTTTCACTCTCTTCTGCTTTTTGTGGAGCTGACCAAAACGAAAAGGAACCACGTATCTCCCACCACCACCTTGTCTTTCACAACACTTGCAATCCTATCTAGGCAGATTTACTGCCTATGCCCAAGAGCAGGTTTTTATGGGAGTTAATGTACTTTGTACTTATTTTTTGTTAATATCCTTTATTAATACATTTCCATAAAGCAAGTTTAGAGGCAGGAATGAGCCCTATAAAGCCAAAGGTCCATTAAAGTCAACGCTTGGGACTGAGACGTCGGCCAGATTGAACTGGGACGCACACCTCACATATCACTGATAATCCCATTACTTCTTTCATGATAAAAGGAATTGAAGTATTCCTCCTGATAAAAGTCTGAGAAACTAATCAGTTTGTTCAACACCATTAAAATGCCAAGCAACACCATTAACTGGAAACCAGTTGAACGGTCAATACAAATCTGTAGCTATTTGTATCTCCATATACATACATATGGGCTGCAATAGCCCATGCCCAGAATTTTCCTTTCCCGTTATTTGGTTGTCCTTTTCTTTGGAAAACACTTAGCCAGCGTATTTTGTCAACTCATAAGAAGTCTAATACAGAAAATATTGTTCATAAACCCTTGTTTTATACCTCATTATGCGGAACTAAATCTTGAGGATGCATCTGTACAATCAAGAAGCCCGCCACGCAATAAAGCAGGTATAAACCGGACATAATTAAGTACAGAAAAATCTAATTTATTCTGACAACCACTTTAATTATCTACAGAACTCCCAAAGGTAAATTCTGAATTCATCTTTCATAATTGATTTAAAATATTCTAATAAAAGCTGCAAGGAAAGCACTTTCCCTCTCCTCCTAAAATTGTTTACACATTAAATGTTGAAAGTCACCTCGGGCAGAACAGGTTCCCCTACCACCCAAAACAGATCCAGGACTCTCACAGTTAACTGCCAGTTAAGTCACTTTTAGGGGCGAGGACTCGGACATTTGGCCTCCTCACGGAAATCTCACCATTACCAAGGTCAGCCAACCACTCCAGCGTTTTAGCACCTGACCAGATCCAGCACAGCCATGTGGAAAAGGCACCCCACGACTCGGGCAGTCTGCTCAGTGTCTCCATCACAAAGGACTTCTTGGCAGATTGGTGTTCCACAGGCAAGTCCATCCCCTATCAGAGAACAACCACACCAACTCTTTGGAGGAAAAAATACCCTGTTCCAACACTCCACTAGACAAAGAACGGCTCTTCAGGAAAAGCAAAAAAAAAGAAATCAATCTGATTTTCATTCCTCCTTGTGTAGTACACAATGTAATCATACGGAAAAGAAATATATGTATGCTTCCTTCACCTCCCCAGGAGCTCCTGTCGTATCCAGGCACTGCGGGGGACTGGACACTCATTAGGTTGACTTTGGTAGAGACCAGCAATTTCTGTGGCAAAAGTCCTTCAGAGATCCAGCCCTTCATCTGGAGCCCTTGGGCTTGGACATATCCAGCCCTGGTTTAATTCCAGATGATTTATAGAACAGGTTTTAGTTTCTACTACTCTACCAGTTTCTTTTCACTCTGAATTTAAACTAAAACCAAACAAACCCACCGAGATAGTGTGTCCCACCAGGAGGATATTAAATCAAATCAAGGGTCAATCTTCAGTTTCTTGGATGACCTGAAGACGTGCCCAGCCTGGAGCCCCTGAATAGCTCACGGGTTTCCCTGCGGCCACTCTGGAAGTGGAGATCAGATTTATTTCTAAAAAGGAGTTAACGCCAAGATTTTTAATGCCATGGAAGCGAGTCATCCCATCCCAAAGCCACCAGCCAACAGTACAGACACTGCCGAGCCAGAGTGGCCTTTCACCTTTTGGAAAGTTCCTATAAAACTTGTTCTGCTGTTGCCTCAACCTCTAACCACCAGTGCCAAGAACTCATTTATCCTGGTGCTCAACCCCAAGGAGACAAACACTGTAATTCAGAGCGATTCACCGTAATCCAGAGAAACACTGCAATTACCACCAGCTATCACAGATTGAAGTCGACTATTCTAAATGGTCAAATAATAAAAATAAAATACAATAAAACAGAAGGAAAGCAAACTGGCTGGCAGCATCACGTACAGCAGCAACAGCAGGGCTCTGCAGGAAGCCCTTCAGCTGAGCACAGCTTCCAGGGGTTGCTAAGGAACTCGGTTTTACCGCATGCAGCAAACAGCACTGGGAAACACACCGGAGCCAGCCCTTTGTGCCGATGGCAAGCACACCTTCCTGATAGCCAAACCTCTGTCCTCCCCCACGGAATCCTTTGTCCTCTTCTAAACCACTGTTGTTCTGTAGGGGTTGCAGGTGCTGTCAGCATTTGGCACAGAAACTGAAAAAAAAACCCTGATTTTTTGGCTCCGCAGGGGTGGGGGATTGTGGGGTTTTTTTGTGTGTTTTGTTTTGGGTTGGTGTTTTGGGGCTTTAGTAGTTGTGGGTTTTTTTTCAGACAGCTGTCACATCAGACAGGATGGCTACCCACACATCTGCAACAAAAAGCTGTCATTTTTTCCAGGATCTCACGGTGCTTGTTACACTGCGCCAAATTCACGTTTTTTAGCAGGTACAGCCAACACCTGGGTTCTGCATTTCATCTCCCCAGGCTTCCTTACTGCGACCTTACACACCCAGTGTCCGTCCCCCCGCGTTCCTGGGGGACTATTTCTGCCAATTTAAAGCAGCAGTAATTCAGTTTTTCCACAGACTCTAAAAAGAAGGCATTATTCCCATTCTGATTGTGCTAAATCAAAGATGCTGTTATTCAACATGCAGGCACGGCTCCTGTGCTCCCCGTTAACCACAGTTATTGGAATGGTGCTGAACATCACCGAGGGCTCTGTCGTGCTGCATCCTGAGCAAATGCAGAGTATTAGACAGCTCCTGCCCCAAAGGCTTATCTTCTCCATCCATAAGAATGACATAAAGTCTGCATGGGGAATCACGTATCAGCAAAATGGACTAACAAAATAGAAGCAACAACTACTTTTATTCATAATGGGTTTGTTTAGAAGATGAAAAGCTACACAGAAAGCCAAGGTAAGGAAAACAGGAGGTTGTAAAAGGTGAAAAAGGCAGAAAGAGCAAAGAAGGGCCAAGTTACTTTCTCATAACCCCTTACAAAAATCTAGAATTTACTTAAGATATTACAGTTAATAAACTCAAAGCACTAAAATCCTGAAGTCCATAATGGGTGCTGTGTTTCCTTACCCAGCGAGCCCTCTAAGGAGATTGTTTGATTTGGGATCAGCTGCACCAGCACTGCTCAGTTCCTCCTTCTGCACACACCTGGTACCAGCCACAAGAAAAAAATGTCTCGTTGTCACTAAACTAAAGGGTTTGTTCTGCTCAGTCTTGTGCAGAAAATGCTTTCAGGTGACTTACTGGGCAGCTGTAGTTGATAAATTAGCTGACAAAAAATGTGAACCGTGACTCCTGCACCAGCATCCTGCGGTGGAAGGGCGAGGTGGGACCAGAAGGCTCTGTGGGTGCCAGCAGTGCTGCACATCTCCACTTCCCACCCGGCTCCGGCACCAACATGGGAAAAACGACACTTCATAACCTATGGAAAACAGTGGCTTTCCATTAAAGAAACATCTCACGAGTCAGACAGCTCACACGTTTCCATCCATTCCCAGTATGATCAAATTACCACAGCATCCCAATAAATCCTTACAGAGCCAGAGTTTATCAATTATTTTTCTACATTCAGGAAGCGCTCATCTTTGACAGGCGTTTGAAAATACCCAGGTTTACTGTGAACGGGAGAAAAATGGAAACACTGTGGAACAGAACAGTTTGTGAAAGACTCACCGTGGCAGGGGGGGTGGAACGAGATGGGTTTCAAGGTCCCTTCCGACCCGAACTGCTCCGTGATTCTATGACTATTTTAGAGCTCACTGGGAAAAACCAACCTTCTAACAACTCCCGTTGTGTGTGTTGGTGGTGGTTTCTGGTTTTGAACTGTCAGTGATTACTGAGTCTGAACCTTCTGCACCAAACACTGCCAGAAGGGAGTCCTGTTCCCCTTGATGCACGTTTGCTAAAACACATAAACCACTACACCCATCCTGATCCCACGCTCCAACACACAGTCCGCTGCTACACCAACTGCAACCGGTTATGGTTAGGAACAGAGCCCCGGCGCTCCCAGGACCGCAGTGAGTGATGCCATTCCCATGGAAACGCAGGAAAAGCTGGAGCTGTGTGCCCAGCAGGACGGCGGGAGGCAGGAAAACAGGCAACTGTTCCAACCCTCCAACAGGACACTGAATGGAACAAACTGCCCTCTGAAATACCACAAAACAGAAGTCAGCTATGGGGGGGAAAAAAAGAAAAGGCAGAGGATTGATGGGTCATCCCCCTCTGTTTGAGGCTGGAAAACAGGATAATGTTTTTTTTCCAGGATTCTCACATGGTCAGCGCGTTCTTTAATCAGGAGTGAACCTCGGGTTCATGATCAAATTTTCTACTGGTAGCATCTGAAACTTTAAATACATTTCTCCATACTCTGAACA